AGCCTGGATGAGAGAGCAAGACTCCATCTCAAAAAAAAAAAAAAAAAATCTATAGTTTAATTGTGATCCCAAATCAAAACAACAAAATGCCTTTGGACATGAAGGCATGTATGAATTACCTGATTCTTTTTTTTTTTTTTTTTTTTTGAGATGGAGTTTCACTCTTGTTACCCAGGCTGGAGTGCAATGGAGAGATCTCAGTTTACCACAACCTCTGCCTCCTGGGTTCAAGCAATTCTCCTGCCTCAGCCTCCTGAGTAGCTGGGATTACAGGCCCGTGCCACCATGCCCAGCTAATTTTTTGTATTTTTAGTAAAGACGGAATTTCACCATGTTGACCAGGATGGTCTCTATCTCTTGACCTCGTGATCCACTCACCTCGGCCCCCGAAAGTGCTGGGATTACAGGCCTGAGCCACCACCGCGCCCGGACTGAATCACCTGATTCTAAAATATAAAGACATGCAAATAGCAAAGCATAGTCAATGCACTCTTGAAAAATAGCAATTTGTCTACCAGATAGTCAGAATTACAAAGAAGCTGTTGTAATAAAGAGTTTGAGATTTGGGTGCATGGATTAACAGATAGACCAATGGAACTGAATGGAAAGTCCTGAAAAACAAAACCAACAAAACATGTCTAAATGCAAGCTTGATTGATTTAAAATGTTGCAGCTTTAGAGCAGGAGACTCTTGTTAAAATAAGTATTAGTGGAACAACTGAATATCCATATAAAAAACCTAATGTAAGTGGAACCCTTTTTCATATTATAAAAAAAATGCAATTACAGGGAAATTCAAAACCTACTTTATAACTGTTTATTATAAATACTTCAAAAACACAGAAATGCACAGAATAATAAATAAATCTTTGTATAGATTATGTTTTAGTGAGTCAGCAGTATGAGTAAATCAGAGCATCAGTAAGGCTAGAGTTGAAAGAACTGAAAGAGGTTGGGGTCATTGGTCACTTCAGTAACAAGAGGAGTGAGATGATATGAGTCAAAGAGGAACAGAGGAAATGGCACTTCCTCTCTCCCCCTTGTCTCAGCCATAGAAGGCCTAGCTGCTTTCACAAGCCTTTGCTTTTTGAGAGTAAAACTTGGATCTCAACAGTAGCTAGGGGAAGGCTGCCTGGGACAATAATGGATTTATTCCTCTTACTTGACAAGGTCCTTCTGCTGACCACTGGAACTCTAAATATATTTCCAAGAAATATAACCTGAGCAGTTCTATTCCAGAAAGTCATGATGGAGGGATGCTGTGTTGATGACAGACACCCTGACCAGGTCCATAAACACTTTACTGACTTAGCGGCAGTGCCAGTTTGCTGACATGATAGGAGTAGAGGTCTATCTCCCTCTCCACATGCGTAAGAGCTCCACAGACTTCCTTTCAACAGTTCTTACTCCTGAAAGTACCCTCAGAAGTATTCAGGAGCCCTAAGAGTCCAAAAAAAAAAAAAAAAAGGTTGACTTGTGGCTTTGCCAGAGATTTCCCTAAGGATTGGGGTTCTCTCCACCCACTATGGCCAGGATCAATTCAGTTGTTTATGCGCTGACTTCCTTCCTTAGCTTTGTCTCCACATCCCAGGGGCAGATGGCCTCTGCTCATAGCTGGGATTGGTGTATCGAACCTCAGCGCTCAAGGTGGAAACCCACAGATATTTGCCTAAATAAATAAAACTTTACTTAGCAGTTAAATTTTATGTATATATTTAAAATTTTTATTTAACTTTTAAATTCAGAGATGCAAGTGTAGGTTTGTTACATATCCCCTTTTTACTGACTTCCTTCCATTAAGGCCAGCATTAATAACCTCATGTTAACTTGATTGCCTTTGAAATAATCCTATCTCCAAGTCATGTCACATTTTAGTTTAAAAAATGTTGAATTTTGCAGAAGAGGCAATTTAACCTATAATAGTGGCAAAGGCAAGTGTCAGATCTATATGTATATCATTATATCATTACATATGCGTGTGTGTATACATATATGTGTATATATAAAAGAGCACATCTATCTTTATAAAAGCCGGAAATCGAAAATCATCTTTCAAAATTTACACAGCCACATTGTTACTTGTGGAAACTTCTGAGTAGGAGGCTGAATTTTGAAGAAAATTTTAAAGGAAAAAATGCAATTTCTATGTATTTTTGGAATTTTTTGCCACAAAAATACATGTGCTATTTACTTTTAAGTAAAATATTGAAATAACCCTAAGAAAAGCAAGAGGAGTACTCTAGTAGTCAGAATAAGTAAAAGTAAGCTGATGGAACAGAAAAATATTTCCTGAAAGTTAAATGGCTTAACACAAGTTGATTTTTGTGCACATAAATTCTGGTTTGAGTTTGCAGGGTGTTATGGGCTGAATTGTGCCCACGTCTTAACGTGGTACAATTCAGATATATCCACGTCTTAACACCCAGTACTGCAGAACGTCATTGTATTTGGAGACCGAACCTTTGAAGAGGCAATTAAGGTAAAATGAGGTCTTATGGTTAGGATCATATTCAATATGACTGGTGTCCTCATAAGCAGAGCAGATTAAGATATAGACACACAGACTAAGGAACAACCATTTAAGAATTCACTGAGAAAGTAGCAATCAGCAAGCCACGGAGAGGCCAGGGAAGAAATCAAACTGGCCAACATCTTCATCTTAGATATTTAGCCTCCAGAAATGTGAGAAAACACATTTCTGTTTTTTAAGTCACCCAGTCTGTGGTATTCTGTTATGGTATAATAAACTAATACACAGTCCGTCCTGGCTTTTGCCTCACCCAGGAATCCAAGCTGCTTTCACCTTGTAGCTCCACATCACAACAGATGTTAACTGCTCAACAGAAACAAAAGCACGGGAATGATGCACTGGCTTCTGTCTAACTATAAATCAGGCGTCCCCAAACTACGGCCCACTGGCCGCATGCGGCCCTCTGAGGCCATTTACCCGGCCCCCCTCCGCACTTCAGGAAGCGGCACCTCTTTCATTGGTGGTCAGTGAGAGGAGCACAGTATTTGGCGGCTCTCCAACGGTCTGAGGGACAGTGAACTGGCCCCATGTGTAACATGTTTGGGGACGCCTGCATAAATGAACCACCCAGGAAGGTGAGGTAGACAAATGAAGATGGGCACTTGTAGTTTCTCCCATATGTTATTATGGTGCTCAATTAAAACCAACTATTATAATTTATGACAGTAAGTTTCTTCATTTCTTGGAATTATTTCTGAGAATGTCAGCATAGCCTTGAAATCTTCCAACATTGTCTTGGACCAACAAAGTGACTGGTGGTTTCAAATACAAGATTACATCCTGTTTTAAAACAATTCTGTAAATCTTGGCAGGGAGAGTCAACCGTATTCCCTCAATAGCACTTTGCACTGTCCTTTTAATAAGCTATGTAATTTCTTTAGGCTGAGAATTCTCTCCTATTTTTGGTGTATGATAAATAATCTACCCTGTGAGCCTCTGCTACCTTCCATATGATGGAATATTCCTAAACAGCTATACATGTGCCTGTGGCAGACTGCAAAAAAAGATTTTCCTGTGGGGCAGGTACACAGAAAAAGAGACAGTGGAAGGATGTTTAACTATAACTTTTTTTTTTCTCATCAGAGCTGGCACGTTCACAAAGTACCCTTGTTACCTCCTGAGCAGTCTTCAAGATTTTTCTGTTTTTTTTTTTAGAAGTTTGTCTTCTTGTAGATCATTTGCAAAGTGATTTCTATAGTCTTTCTTCATCTACAAAGTTTATGAAGGAAAGATTGGCATTTGATCACCTACGAAAGCTCATTAATCTTTATTTGGGTTCAGTGCCCTGTTTCAAATAATGCATCGTATTAAAATCCTACTACAATATGAAATATTAGAATGATTTCAAATAGGCTATATCTAACCTTCGGATTACATCCCAAAAACTACTATATTGTGTGACAAATTAGATTTTACTCTGCAGCCCATTTGGAAATATGTTGAGAATGTGTTGAAGATGCCCAGCATACATATGGAAATGTCACTATTCAAAGTGTATATTCACATCAAAGGTCTGTTATCACAGAGGAACCAGGGAGAGGGATGGATCAGTCAGGGAACTTCTGCAGAGACAGAGTGGTCTATGTTAGGGGAAGGGTAGATGTCTCTGGACTCTTGCACTGAGAGCTGGGTACAGCCTTCAGAGTGGGAAACACAGTGATAAAGTTAGTCAGCAGGCTAGGTTTCATAGTTGCACAAGAGAGCACACAGGGGAGATCAAAAGGAGAGTGCTATAATGTGGGAAAAGTCCTGGGGCTGGACAAAATTACTGTGTTCAAGTGCACCAATACAAGAGATGCAGGACACCTCCCATTACTTCCCCATGTGGAGACTCCTCTCTGCCTCATCCTTCACCCAGAGGGAACTGCTCAAGTAGCTTTCCATTCCAGGCTTTTCTCTCACCTTCTGAGAGTCTGGGCCCCGCAACCACCCAGCTTCATAAAAATCAGCTCCCACAGAAGCAACTGCAGTTTCCCGAAGCCTAAAACTGCCTTAGCTCAGGGCCTTTTTGTTTGAAGACTCCAACCGGAGTCTCACCGCCCCCCAATCCTTTTTAAACTTCTTTAGATTGAAGAGAAAATCCTACCAAGTTCCTGATATGGCTTCTGTACCTATACTCTACCATTTTATGAGTAGGTATAAGTCTTGCTTTTAATAGTAACTTCACTACTAACCGTAATTTCCATGAGCAAATGCTGATATAATGTTAATCAAATAAAGGAGTCAGTGATATTTTTATTTATCATCATTTAACCTCTGCTACTTTATTAAACAAGCCAAGCAAACCATGTATGATTCTTTAATTTTCAAGAACAACAGACTAAAGAGTATGAGGAAATAAATGCAAATATTAACAATCCTTTGTTGTGTTCCATTATTTAACTCGAGTTCTTTTACAGTTTAAAGAAAATTGCCACAGTAATACCACATGACATAACCTGTGACAGATCACAAATAAGGCAGGTTTTCCCAATTTTGTGTGTGTGTGTGTGTGTGTGTGTGTGTTTTACAAAATATCAAACTGTTACTCCTAAACCACTTAAACAGCAATACATGTGTGACTAATATTCATAAACTTCATAAACTAAGATTCTGAAGCTATTTAAACCTGTTATTAAAAGGAAAAGCATTTGAAAAATACCCCAAAGTAAAACAGGTAAATCCCTTAACTACTATATGGAACAGAAAAGCAAACAACACTGTATTCTCTCCAGCTTCACCTAGGCCCTCCACCACATAGAAACTCGCCTGCGCTGTTCACACTCAAAAGGAAGATTCTGCCTTTGACTTCACTCAGGAGGCGCTGGGGGGCATGACACTGGAGCTTGCACTGTCTGTGACAGTGGAATCATCTGTGGTGCCAATTGTGGCCTGGGCTCTCTCTTCTATATGTTTCAAAGCATCCTTGTATGAGGATGAAAAGGAACTAGGGACGGTATTGTTTAGCATGGCCAAAAACTCTACTACTTTCCTCTTGCTGATTTCTGAATGGGCTCTTGGACCCCAAAGAAATTCATAACATGGAGGAGAAGTGTTGGGCACCTGCCGGTACTCCAGGTAACATTTCTGCACCCAAACTTTAGTGAGGAGCTCCCTGGGCTCCCCAAAGATGAAGTGCTCCCTTCCAGCATATACCCCTATCCCACTCAGCACATCCCAGATGACCTCCTCAGAGGCACAGGAGCCCTTTATGAAGATTATACTCAGAATAAGTGTCAGGAGGCGATTCTGGGGCATGCCCTGCTCATCACTCAGACTCCCTTCACAGGTGAGGTCTAATGTGTTTACAAAGACATAGTAGTCGGGGCCCACTTCTGTCAGGACAATGCCAAAAAGAATCTCTAGGAACTCACGGGCCTTCCTGAAGATCATAGGAAAATAGCTTGTGTGCCTGTTGACAAAAATCGTCAGCATCTCTGCCTTTGTGACAGGTTCCTTTGCTTGATATTTGAGAAGAAGAAACCGCACCAACTCATCCACCTTTTCATCTAGTGTATAAGTAAACAAGGGCTCAGTGACTGTCAAGGACTCGCTGTCTAGTAAGGTGTCTGAGGGACTTGTATCTTCATCTACTGGGCTGCTGGACTCTTCCCTGGATGGGTTCAATAAAGTGGAGGAGAAGAAAGAGCTCACAGGACCCCGGAGAGCAGACTGGGAAGGCCCCTCAAGAGGACTCTGGGGACACTCAGGGGAACTCGGGGGAAGACGCAATGGACTAGAGGAGAAGGTGCTCACAGGACCCTGGAAAGTAGACTGGGAAGGCCCCTCAGGAGGACTCTGGGGACACTCAGGGGAACTCAGGGGAAGACCCAATGGACTGGAGAAGAAGGTGTTCACAGGACCCTGGAGAGCAGACTGGAAAGGCCCCTCAGGAGGACTCTGGGGACACTCAGGGGAACTCGGGGGAAGACTCAATGGACTAGAGAAGGTGCTCACAGGACCCTGGAGAGCAGACTGGGAAGGTCCCTCAGGAGGACTCTGGGGACACTCAGGGGAACTCGGGGGAAGACTCAATGGACTAGAGAAGGTGCTCACAGGACCCTGGAGAGCAGACTGGAAAGGCCCCTCAGGAGGACTCTGGGGACACTCAGGGGAACTCGGGGGAAGAAGCAATGGACTAGAGAAGAAGGCGTTCATAGGGACCTGGAGAGCAGATTGGAAAGGCCCCTCAGGAGGACTCTGGGGACACTCAGGGGAACTCGGGGGAAGACTCAATGGACTAGAGAAGGTGCTCACAGGACCCTGGAGAGCAGACTGGGAAGGCCCCTCAGGAGGACTCTGGGGACACTCAGGGGAACTCTCGAGAAGACTCAAACAGTCAGAGAAGAAGGAGCACACAAAAATCTGGAGAGTAGACTGGGCAGGCCCCTCAGAAGGTCTCTGAGGACTCACAGGAGAACTCTGGAGAAGACTCAATGAACTGGAGGAGCGGGAGGAGAAGGAGCTCATAGGACTCTGTGGAAGAGACTGGGCAGGCCCCTCAGAAGGACTCTGAGGACTCTCAGGGAAACTCTGGAGAAGACTCAGTGAAGTGGAGGAAAAGGAGGAACACAAAAAACTCTGAAGAGCACACTCAGCAGGCCTCTCAGGAGTACTCTGAGGGCACTCAGGGAAACTCAGGGGAAGACTCAATGGGCTGGAGGAGAAGGAGCTCACAGGACCCTGGAGAGCAGACAGGGCAGGCCCTTCAGGAGGACTCTGAGGACTCTCAGGGGAACTCTGGAGAAGACTCAGTGAAGAGGAAGAAGAGGAGGAAGAGGAGGAGGAGGAGGAGGAAGAGGAGGAGGGGGAAGAGGAGGAGGGGGGTGAGGAGGTGGGGGAGGAGGAGGAGGAGGAGCTCACAGGACTCTGAAGAGGATACTGGGAAGGCCCCTCAGGAGGACTCTCAGGGAAACTCTGGAGAAGAATCAGTGAAGTGGAGGAGAAGGAGTACACAAAACTCTGGAGAGCAAACTCGGCAGGCCCCTCAGGAGGACTCTCAGGGGATCTCAGGGGAAGACTCAGTGAAATGGAGGAGAAGGACCTCACAAAACTCAGGAGAAGAGACTGCACAGGCCCCTCAGGAGGACTCTGAGGACTCTCAGGGGAACTCGGGGGAAAACTCAGTGAAATGGAGGAGAAGGACCTCACAAAACTCAGGAGAGGAGACTGTGCAGGCCCCTCAGGAGGACTCTGAGGACTCTCAGGGGAACTCTGGAGAAAACTCAATGAACAGGAGTGGGGGGAGGATGAGGAGGAGGGGTAGAAGGAGGAGAAGGAGGAGGGGTAGGGAGGGGAGGAGGAGGAGGATGATGAAGAGGGGGTGGAGGGGGACGAGTGGAAGGAATGGGAAGAGCGGGAGGAGGAGAAGGAGCTCACAGGACTCTGGAGAGGAGATTGGGAAGGCCCCTCAGGAGAACTCCAAGGACTCTCAGGGAAACTCTGGAGAAAACTCACTGAACTGGAGGAGAAGGAGCACACACAACCCTGGAAAGCAGGCTGGGCAGGCCCCTCAGAAGCACTCTGAGGACTCTCAGGGGAACTCAGGGGAAGACTCAGGGAAGTGGATGAGAAGGAGCTCACAGGACTCTGGAGAGGAGACTGGGAAGGCCCCTCAGGAGAACTCCAAGGACTCTCAGGGAAAGTCTGGAGAAAACTCACTGAACTGGAGGAGAAGGAGCACACACAACACTGGAAAGCAGGCTGGGCAGGCCCCTCAGGAGGACTCTGAGGGGAACTCGGGGGAAGACTCAGGGAAGTGGATGAGAAGGAGCTCACAGGACTCTGGAGAGGAGACTGGGAAGGCCCCTCAGGAGGACTCCAAGGACTCTCAGGGAAAGTCTGGAGAAAACTCACTGAACGGGAGTAGAAGGAGCACACACAACTCTGGAAAGGAGGCTGGGCAGGCCCCTCAGGAGGACTCTGAGGACTCTCAGGGAAACTCAGGGGAAGACTCAGTGAAGTGGAGGAAACGAAGGAGCTCAGAGAACTCTGGAGAGGAGACTGGTCAGGCCCCTCAGGTGGACTCTGAGGACTCTCAGGAGGACTCTGAAGACTCAATGAAGAGGAGACGAAGGAGCTCACGGGACTCTGGAGAGGAGACTGGTCAGGCCCCTCAGGAGGACTCTGAAGATTCTCAGGAGAACTCTGGAGAAGACTCGGCATCCCAGCAGCAGGCTTCTCCTTGTCTGCTTGAACATACAAAATGAGAGAAGAAAATGATGAGGAGAAGGAAGAAGAGGAGAAGGAGGAGTGGAATAAAAAGTGGAAAGAGGAAGAGAAAATGGAGGAGGTTTCCTCCTCTTCCTCATCTGTGGGATCCTGTGAATCTACCAACTCCAGTTTTAAAATTGGGTTCTGGAAGTCTTGCTCAACGCTGGGGCAAGGTTTGGAAAGAGAGGCATGATGAATATTGTTCAGGAGCAGCAGGTAAACATGTGACTGAGCACAAACATGTATGATGGGATCCCACAGGCCTGAGGGAGACAGGGACAGTGTGAGTGGTCTCAGCCGAGCAACTCACCCATGATGACTCTGACAAAAGGCTGCCTTACAACTCTCCTTCTCTTAAGATGGTACTGTAGGCTTCACAGATCGCCTGTCTTCCTAGGGCGTTTGTTCAGTGGGAACCTGTAGGAGAATGTGAGAAAGCACCTCAGGGCACAGTTGGCAGGCAGAGCCTGGGGCACTAGGAATGGCAGTAGGTGGTTAGGACTGGGTGCTGCCGGGTCTGCTCTGTTTGTGGGGGGTAGGGCTCCTGGTACACCGACAGAGTGTGCACTCACCTTGACTCCTAGCACTGCCTGCGCCTCCTCTGCTGTGCTGGCTTTAGAAGTGCAACTCAGACCCTGGTCTTCAACTCCTGGTTCCTGGAGCACCTGCAAGAAGAAATGAGAGAGGGCTGGGCACTATGGCTCGTGCCTGTAATCCCAGCACTTTGGGAGGCCAAGGCGGGTGGACCACCTAAGGTCAGGAGTTCCAGAGCAGCCTGGACAACATGTATTTCCGTCTTACTGGAAATACAAAAATCAGCCAGGCATGGTGGTGGGCACCTGTAATCCCAGCTACTTGGGAGTCAGACAGGACAATCACTTGAACACTGCAGGCGGAGGTTGCAGTGAGCAGAAACCATGCCATTGCGCTCCAGCCTGGGTGACAAGAGGGATACGTCTCCCCGCCGCCAAAAAAAAAAGAAAAAAAGCAAGAGAGCCCCTCTGACTAAAGACTGCAGCTGGGGCTGGCCAGACACCCAGAGCCCCACAGTTCTGGGGTTTGTGGCCCCCTGAGAATTCAATTAGCGTTGTCACATTTTCTCAGATCGGCCCATGTCCCCACCACTGTGCTGGCCTGCGGCAAAACCTCAGCGCAACCTCCACATCCCTGAGAGCAGAGGGAGGTAGTGAGGAGGCAGCCACGTCCCATACTCCACCACGGGGGCAGTCGGGGCAGCCTCACATCTGCTCTGAAGCACATGTGACACCTCAGTCCTCACTCTTATCCCCAGCAGGGCCTGGGAATCTTCCCTCTGCCAACCGGAGGCAGCTGCCTCTGCCGACTTGCCGTGGGACCCTCAGACCAAGCCTCCCCCTCCCCTACACCCCTCACTCAGAAATGAGGTGCCGCGGCTCAGCCTGAGGCAACTGGGGAGCTGCTCTACCAGGGCTGATAGGAGGGACAGAGTGGGAATCTCTGGGAATCTGTCCTCTGAGGTGGGGGTTCCCTTAATCCTCCTCAAAATCTCCCTATTTACTCCCTACAGGGCCAGCACCTCCTTTCTTCTGTGGTGGGGACGGGTCCCTCAGCCGTCGGCTGCTATATTCCCGTCAGGAGGACCCGTCCCTCAGCCGTCGGTTGCCGTATTCCCCTCAGGAGGACCCGTCCCTCAGCCCTTGGTTGCCCTATTCCCGTCAGGAGGACCCGTCCCTCAGCCGTCGGCTGCTATATTCCCGTCAGGAGGATCTGTCCCTCAGCTGTCGGTTGCCGAATTCCCGTCATGACCACCCGTCCCTCAGCCCTTGGTTGCTCTATTCCCATCAGGAGGATCCGTCCCTCAGCCGTCGGCTGCTATATTCCCATCAGGAGGACACGTTCGTCACACCTTGGTTGCCCTCTTACTCTCTGTGACCTACACGTCCCACCGCAGGGGCAGGGCACGCCGGGGCTTTTGCCCTTTATGGTGGGAGGTCCCTCAGTTCTCCCTCAGGGCCCTTACCTTGAGAACTGGTCGGGTCTAAGACTTCCCTCGGCTGACCTAAGTCGAGCCTCCTCACGAAATGCCTTCCAAGGCTTCCAAGATGGAGGTTGGGAAAGCACATCCGGGAGCCCTGCGGGGGTTGACCAGGGCTGACGGCAGGGGCAGCGTGGGGTGGGGCCTCGTCTCCGCGGAGGAACCGCCCCGCCCCTTCTCAGCCTCGTTTTCATCCCCGACCTCGCCTCCTGTTTTTCATCTCTTCCTTCCCACCTCTCGGATGCGCTCCAAGCCTTCTTGCTCACTCCCTAAGCCTTACCAACCTCTTCCCTCCCACCTCCGGAGTCCTTGACACTCATAGCCCACCTTTTTCCAGGGCTGACAGCAGGGAGTGGCTGGGTGCAGCCTGTGACTCCCCTCCGTGTTGGGAGGTTGCGGTCTGTCGACAAAGTTCTCTTATTGTTCAGTGGCCAGCCCTGGGGCTCCTCTCTCTGCTTAACTGAAACTGCCCTCCTTCGAGAAAACCTCTCCTTTTTGCTGACTCCCAAAATGGAAGTCGGAAAGTTGAACATCTGGGGACCCTGATGGGGTCCTCCAGAGCTGGCAGCAGGCACAGGGACAGGGGAGGGGCACTAACAGCCTTGGGTGTTTCCTTCCAGCCTTCCTGAGGGGCTGCACCTGGACTCCTGAAACTGCCTGGACTCACTGCCTCTGTGGGTCGGAGTGTTTCACCTCCAAATAAGCCCCTCCCATCCCTGAGACCTGCGAGGTGCAAGAGAGGTAGAAACACATCCATCCACGGTGGGATAGGGCCTCCCAGGCCCCAGGCAGGGCTCCACTGCCCTCCGTCTGAAACTGGGTGGGAAGGCCCCTCAGTCTTCTTTAGCATATTATTCCTGACAGGGCCTGCACTCTGTCCCCCTCCTCTCCAGAGACTTTTCCTCGGATCCAGGTTCCTATTTCCATGAAACCCCAAGAGGAAATGAATCACGCTAGCACCTCTCCCTAATGGCCCTGCCCAACGCCTCCTAGGCGTGAAAACAAGGGCTGGTTTTTGTGGGTCCTTCTGTGTCTGGGGTGGGATATCTCACCACTTCTTCCTCTGCATCATTCTGGGGATGCCTGGAAGGTCCTGAGTCCCTTCTCTCATCATGATCTGAAATGAGAGTCACCTGAGCACAGCCCTCTCCTCTTTCTACCCACTAAGATGTCAGGGGACATCACAGTGGGCCACCATGCCCCAGGGCCTCCCAGGGATGACAGCAGGTGGGAAGCTGGTTTCTGTGGATCCCCCTCTTCGTGGGCAAGGAATCTCTGCAGTTTTCCCTCAGAGGCCTCATCTGACTACTGGCTGGTCCTGGGTCTTCCCGTCCATCCCAAGATAACAGTATGACACAGGGGAAAAAACATAATGTAACTTTACCCTGAAGAAAACTGAAAAACGCTATGTCACCATGGGAATGAAATTAACACCATCAGTGATAAATTATGTTGGTACTATGTGCTGTCGGTATGTGGTTAGGAATGATACTTCATCTTCCAAGAAAACATAACCTACATCAAATCAAAACAAAATTATCACCTAATTCACAAAGGCAACCTGACCATACACCTCCAAACTGTCAATGTTTTCAAAACCAAGAAAAGTCTCAGTGAATTGGCACAGCCAAAGGGCATCTAAAGATACATGATGAATAAATGTAATGGAGTATCCTCAGGGGATCCTGGGACAGAAAATAGAATTTTGTGACAAGGAAATAAATATGAGTAAAGTATGTTTATTAATAAACAAAGGATGTTGGTGCATCAATATTGGTTCATTAGTTTTAGGAAACCTTACCAATCCTTATTCCTGTTAATAACAGGAGTAATATATTATGGGGCATATAAGAATATCCTTGAACATTGCCATAATTTTCTTGTAGATCTAAAATTATTCTAAAATAAAGTCTATCAAATATGAAAAACGTTACCAATCTAGATAAAAGATATCCATGAAAAACCTACAGCAGATATATCTTTTAAATATTTTACATGTTGAAAGCTTCTAGTTTGAACTTGGGACTTAACCTAGAGTTTCTGCTATGAGTATTTCTATTATTTTTATAGTAGCGGTAGTAGCAAGTGTAGCAATACAAAAAGAAATAAATGAAGGAATGAGGATTGGCCAGTTGGAAACAAAGCTTATGCGATTAATGGATGCTTTGACTGTGCATGAGAAGAATCCAAAAGAACTAAAGATAATTTATTCAATATACAATAATATATCAGTTTGCTAATATAAGATCAGTATTCAAAAGAATGTCAACTTTGTTTTCTGTCAGGGAGAGAGTATGAAAATGAAAGTAAAGAATATATAATGTTTAACCTATCATACTAACATATCAAGTATCTTAGAAAAATGCTTAACCAAAAATAACTTTACAGATGAAAATATTAAAATGTTGTTGAGACATATTAATGAAGACTTACATAAACATAAAATAAAATAAATTCATAGGCATGAAGATTCCTTATTTTAAATATGTTAATTCTTCCAGAAAAAAGCAATCTATAGAACGATTGCAATCCCAAATCAAAACAACCAAATGGCTTTGGACATGTGTGAATCACCTGATTCTAAATATAAAGACATGCAAATGGTCAAGCATAGTCAATACATTCTTGAAAAAGAGTAATTAGTCTACCAGGTAGTAAGAATTACAAAGAAGCTAATGTAATGAAGAGTTTGAGATTCAGATGCAGGAATTGGTCGACAGACCAATGGAACCGAGTGGACAGGCCTAAAAAACAAAAGCAACAAAACCTGCGTAAATATGCCCTTAACTGATATTTAAAGCCTACTTTAAAAATATTATACTACAAAAAATCTTCAAATATACACAGACGTATTTAGAATAATAAATAAGTGTCTGTTTAGATTATTTTTTAGGTAGTCAGCAGTAAAAATATATTGCAGCATCAGTAAGGATAGAGGTGAAAGGACTGAAAGAGGCTGGGGTCACTGGTCATGTCAGTAACAGAAGGAAGCAAGATATAATATGAGTCAAAGGGGAAGAGAGGAAATGGCTGCTCCTTCTGCCCCTTGTCTCAGCCTATAGAAGGCCTTGCTACTTTCATGAGCCTTTTGCTTTCTCAGAGTAGGACTTAAAACTCAACAGTGGCTAGAGGAAGGCTACCTGGGACAATGAGGTATTTATTCCCCCTCCTATTTGACCAGTCTTTCTGCTGACCTCTGTAACTCTGGGGATCTATGAAAGAGAACGTGAGTGGCTCTATTCCAGAAAATCATGAACGGGGGATATTGTGTTGATGACAGAAACCTGACCAGGTCCACAAACACTTTGTCAACTTAAATCCAGTGCCAGGTTGCCCCAATGTGAGTGGAGTAGGGAGAGGCCTATCTCCCTCTCCACATGGATTGGCGATCCACATGAAAGGAATTTCAGCTGCTCTTACTCTTGTCAGGACCTTCAGAAGGGTCTAATGTTCAGGAGCCCTGAGACTCCAAAAGAGGTTGACTTGTGGCTGTGCCAGAGATTTCACTTAGGGTTGGGGTTCTGTCTATCCACTATGGCCAGAATCAACTAAGCTGTTCATGAGCTGACGTCCTTCTTCAGCTTTGGCTCAGTGTCCCAGGGCAGACAGCCTCTGCTCATAGCCAGAAATGGTACATCAAACCTCGGTGTTCAAGGTGGAAATCCACAGACAAGGAAGCTCTTCTCCAAGACTGGGAGGCAGCTGGTGGGTTATTTCCAGCTCTGGCCCCCATGTCCTTGGGAATTATCCTCATGGAGTTGTTCTTCTGAGGTCCCAAAAAGGGAGCACTTCTTATGGAAGTGAAAAGAAAATGACAATCTATCTTTTGACCTCCTGATATTGGAAGTAAGTCTCCTGTCCAGAAGAGAGGGACTAATGTTCCTGGGATTGAATCAGTGGGGCAGTGTCGGGGACCTTTTAAAAGAAGACTGAACACAACCTTTCTCCAAACATGACTCATCTTCAGTTCCTTTTTCTTTTTCTCACCTTAGTTTCAGCCTTCAGTGAACATGCTGCCTCTGCCAGCAAAGGTGTACCATAGTTGCCATGAATGAAGACATTCCCAGATTTTAACGAAGAAGTAGCATTTATGTGTGTATCAGAGAGGTTATAAAATAGACATAAATTCTAACAATAAACCAAATCATGGTTCAATCTTGCTTTTGTTAATAGAAAACGTGGCAAGATTTGTTGTATGTGTGCGCACGCGTGTGTGCGTGTGTGTGTGTGTGTGTGTGTGTGTATGTGCTTGACGCCTCTATTTCTCTTAATCCCCATCCAATGCAATAGCATCTGTGTTCTCTCAACCACTAAAGTTCACTCCAAATCCATCTATTTCAGTAAATCTCTGTTACTATTGCTTTGGGTGAAACTAACATCATCTCTTTCCTAGAACATGGCAACATCTTCCTTATTGTTGCTTTTTTTTTTTCATCACTGTAAAATCTATTGTCTTTACAGTAGCCAATAACTTTTTTAAAAAATTCCAAACCATGGTTAATTTTTAAAGCTTACATATATATTTAACTATTATGTAAAGTTATAAGCATTGTAACAAATGCATAGAGTCCTGTATCACTGACCAGTTTCATCAGTCTAAAATTCCCGAGCATCTCCTCGTGAAGTCAATCTCTACAATTTTCCGAAGCCCCTAGCAACTATGCTGTTTTTATTAATAGTTCCTAGAGTTGTAACTTCCCCAGAATGTCATATGAATAGGTTCATACAATACCCACTTCTAAAAGAGTGGGTGTATCATTTTTCATTTTAATTAGCAAGGAATGAGAATCCCTGTTGTTCCATATCCTCTATTACATTTGGTATTTTTAGATTTTTGGATTTAAGTCATTTTAATAAGTGTGTAGTGGAGTATTTTCTGGTTTTCATTTGCATTTCCCTAATGACAAATGACGTTGATCATCTTTTCACATGCCTCTTAGCAATTGGTGTATTCTCTTTTGTGAAGCGTCTGTTCAAATCATTTGCATCTTTTAAAATTAACAGATTGTT